AGGCCATCATTTCCTTGGTTCTCCATAACTGATTCCATAGCCAGCTGGCATGGCAGAGGAAGGACTGGATCTGCAGTTAGGAAGACCTGAGTTGCAATCCTGTTTCAGATATGACTCTGGGCAAGTCATTCTACTTTTCTCAGCCTCAGTTTCTTCACTCATTTGTAAAGTGGGGAATAGCAATAGCACCTTTCTCCCAGGGCTTTTGGGAGGATCAAATGCAAAACCAAAGCCTATGGAAATTTGAGCTATCATTATTATTGTTATTATTGAGAGGCAGAGTAGCATTGCTTTTCTAGGAAGACCTCTGTAGGCTTATGGAGAAAGGGCTCTTGTCCTGTCCATGCTGACTGTGTGACCCTGGGCAGGTCTCTTAACCTCTCGGTAGTCAAGACAGCTGTCTAAAATGATCAGTTTTCAGAGAGGGTGACAACTTGCACCATAGTTGGAATTTCTTCATCTAGGGATTGACTACACTGATGAGTCATTAACACAGTGCCTGGAACATTGTAGGCACTTAATTAATGCTTTGTTGACTTGACTTGATGAATTCAGAGGTTCAGCCCTAATCCTATCTTATCTCAGTTGAAATCAATGTCCCATATTTCTTTAAATTGCTCACATTCATGATTTTCCCCCAGTGCAATAATACTACATTCCAATTACAGACCACAGTCTGTGCACCCATTCCCCAACTGGGAGGCACCTACTTTTCTTCCAGCTCCTTGCTACCATAGAAAAGTGCTGCTATGAGTGAGACCTCGAACATATTTACATTAGATTCCCTCAGATTGGTCCTTGTTCTCTGTGCACAACAATCTGAGGGCATTTAAAGCAAAGGAATGCCTGATTCCTCAGAGAGAATGCCCTGCCTATGTGAGCATCTTACTCCTCCTAGGGGGCAGCAGAGACTTACAAAGTTATTGCTAGAAGGACTTAAGGGAAACCATCTGAGCCTCCTCCCTTCCCTCCCTCTCTCTCCCTCTCTCCCTCTTTCCTCCCTCCCTCCTTCCTTCCTTCTTTCCTGTCTTCCTTCCTGTCTTCCTTTTTCCTCCGTTTCTTTCCTTCCTCCCTCCCTCCCTCCCTCCTCCCTTTCCTCCTCCCTCCCTTCCTTCCTTCCTTCCTTCCTTCCTTCCTTCCTTCCTTCCTTCCTTCCTTCCTTCCTTCCTTCCTTTCTTCCTCCCTCCCTCTTTTCTCCCTCCTTTCTTCTTTTCTTCCTTCTTTCCTTCCTACCTTCCTCTTTCTTTCCTTCTTTCCTTCCTCTGTCCCTCCCTCCCTCCTTCCCTTCCTGATAGGTCTTCCTGACTCTAGGCCTGGCAATAATCTATCTACTGTATGACCTACCTGCCCCCAAATGGGGATAATAAGAGTACCCATGTTACATTTGCAAGGATCAAATGAGATCATATATGTAAAGCACTTTGAAAACTTTGAAGTGATATGTAAATGCCCATGACTGTTATTAGGTATTTCAACATGCAGTTATTAAACACTACCTGTGTGCCGGGGTACTGTGCTGTTTTTCTAATAAACATCCTCTTTATATCATACTTGGTCAGTGGCCATCCAGCCTAGGCTTGAATACCTGTCATAACAGAGAGCTCACTGCTTCCTGAGGTAGCTTATTCTACTTTGGGACTACTCTCATTTTAAGGAAATTTCTCCTTACTTCAAGCCTCAATTTGCCTCTTTCCAGAGCAGAAAAGGCCCAAACTTTTTGGATTCATCAGCTAGATGGCCTAGTGGATAGAGAGCTGGACATGGAGTCAGGAGGACTTGATTGTAAATCCTGCCCTGGACACTCACTAAATGACCCTGGAAAGGTCATTAACCTCTCTGGGTCTTGGATTCCTTTTCTGTAAAATGATGACTTCTAAGGTCCTGTCCAATTCTAAGCCTGTGATCCTGTGAACATCTCTGAACCTCAGTTTCCTCATCTGTAAAATGAAATGGTTGGATTAGATGAAGGGAAAGGGAAAGGAATAAGCATTTATAAATCATCTACTCTGTGCCAGGAGCTATGCTAAGTGTTTTGCAAATATTATCTCATTTGCTTCTCACAGCAATCCTGAAAGGTAAGTGTTATTTTTATCCCCATTTTATAGTTAAGGGAACTGAAGCAGATAGAGGTTAAGTGACTTGCCCAGGATCATGTAGCTAGTAAGTGTCTGAGGTTGGTTTTGAACTCAGATCTTCCTGACACCAGGCCCAAAGCTTTGTGCACTGTGCCAGCTAGCTGCCCGCAAGATGATTCTTCCACCTCACCCCCAAAGTCCCTGCCAGTTCTAAATCTACGATCCTATGATCCTTCTCACACCACTTTTGTTGCCTAACCCCTACATAATCTTCACAACTGACATTTATTATTATTACTAGTCTTTGGACTGGACTTATGATTTCACTGGTGTAGGGAATGACCAGTGGGGCTACCAAAATAGATTGGCATCTGCTTTGTAATTTATAGTCTTAGAGAAGAGGTGACATTTATATGACCCATTAGAGTTTGTAACGAGAGTTACAGAGATGATCTCGTTGGTCCCTGTGAGATAGGCAAGTATTTCTATCCCCATTTTATAGGTGGGGAAACTGAGGTTTAGAGAGATGCGGTGTTTTGTGTTTTCTTCAACTTCACTCATTTGATGAGTGGGAGACATTTCTCTTAATTATTAGTGATTTGGAGCTTTTTCATATGGCTGTTGACCACTGGTTAAGTGTCGTATGTTGTAGCTAATAGGCATCAGAGCTGGGATTTGAACCCAAGTTTTCCCAGTGGATTCTGGCACCTTCTCCTCTATGCAACACAGTCATTTAGCCTTGGTTCCTGCCCCAGCCTCCGCTAATGTATCTGATTGTCTTTAACATTAAAAGCTTGCATATTGAGAGGCTTGGCCCCTAGCCAGCTGCCTTTGGAGACAAAGGGATTCCAATGCAGCAGCTGTGGATACAAGATCTCTTTTGAGATGCCAGAAGTGCACAGGATGATGGGCTAAAGTGCTTGAACACCTTTGTGCCCAATCATACGGAGGAACTGGAGAAATAGAGACACTGATGCACCAGGCACTGGGCTGAAAGCCAATTCCTCCCTGCTCAAAAATGTTCCATGGCTCCCTATCGCTTCCTTGGCCTGGCATTTAAGGCCATTCACAGTCGGGCTCTGACCTATCATTTCAGCCTTATTTCATATTACCTTCCTTCACAAACTCTGTATTCTAGCCAACTGGGCTATTAGCTGTTCCCTGAACTTGACACTCTGTATCCTGTCTCTGTGTCTTTGAACAGACTGTCCCCCATATCTGGAACACACTCCCCCCACTTCTGCCTCCAAGAATCCATCCTTTCCTTCAAGACTCGGTCAGTCAATCAGCATTTGTTGAGCACCTACTATGCGCCAGGCACTGTGCTAAGCGCTGGACTCGGCTCAGGTGCTATTTATTATCTCCATCGAATCTTCACTGATTCTTTGATCCATATTTGTGCTTCTGTCTGTAGGAATTTTTCAGATAGTTTGAGGTGACCTGGGCCTGGGGGTGGATGAACGATGTTAGGCTGGAAGGAATCTTAAGGGTCATCTTCTCCAACACCTTTATTTTAATAGAGGAGGAAACTGAAGGCCAGGGAAGACGTAGGACCGCAGCATCAAAGATATTTGCAGGGAAGGACCTTAGGGGTCATCTACTCCAATGCCTTGTTTTTCAGAGGAGGAAAGTGAGGTCCAGCCAGACACAGGATCATAGAATCAGAGATATGGAGCAAGAAGGTCACTTAGAAGCACATGACTCCAAAGCCTTTGTTTTACCAGGGAGGAAACTGAGGCCCAGAAAGAAGAATGAGCTTGTATAAGTCCACAAAGCTAGTTAAGTAGCTGAGTTGGAATTTGAACTCATGTCCCTCTGACTCCAAAATTCAGGGCAATTTCTACTAATGATTTTTCAAGGTAATGGCCCTAGGACTAGATTGAATGTCTGACATTCTGAACATTCAGCATCAGACGGTATTTTTTTCAGGTGGCAAATTAAACTAGTTTATGCAGATGCTTTCATTTCAGGCTTGATTTCATCGTGGTTTAACACGACATCTTATATTTAGAAGCCCCCATCTAGGATTACCTACATATCAAGCTACAGACACGCTGCTGTTTTGCTGTCTGCAGCTGTCCCATTGGGAGTGACAGATGCTAAGCTGATCCAGGAGCTGAGGCCAGCAGTTTCACGTCTGCATCTGTCTCTGCCTGTAACCCATGCTGAGAGGCAGAGCTCCAGGAATCCCCGAGCTCCCGGGCCACAGGATGTGTTCAGAGCAGGAAAATCACAAAGTGACAGAGAGGCCGGAGGCTGGGGGCATCCTCTGTGTGCTGGGCTGGGGAGAGATGCTGTGCAGCCTGCTGGGCACCAGCAGGTAGAAGCGGGAGGGGCCCCTGAGAGCCTTTTCCTCCCTCTGCATGGAAGGGAAGCAGAGAAGCAGTATGCTGAAGGATGTCAGAGCTGGGGATGCCCTTAGAACAGGGGATGTCAGAGCTGGGAGGGTCCTTGGTACAGGAGATATCAGAGCTGGGGGGAGGCTTGGAACAGAGGGTGTCAGCACTGTGATGGCCCTTAGATCTGAGAATGTCAGGGCTGGGAGGAGCCTTAGAGAATGCTGGCGCTGGCAAGGACTGTGAATAATAGAATTGTAAAGGGACCTTAGAGTCGTCCAATCCAGTCTGCTCATGCCTCAGACCAATAAATGACAGGTGGCCCTTTTAGATTAATTAACTTTCCCAAGGTCACACAGCCAATGGGCTTCAGAGCTAGGATTAGAGGTCAAGTCTCTTGATCCAAAGCTTTCCTCTAATATCATAAGACAAAAATGAAGTTGTATCTGCTCCTTGGAAAAAGTCTCATGGAGTTCCCCCCAGCTTAATTTGCTTATATTGGTGAGCATTGCCAGGGAGGTGAGGCACATCCCCCTTTGTGCCACCCGTCCCCCAAATGATTTACGCGCATCATCACAAATAGGTTTAGTTAAAACTCCTTTTATTGTGCATATCAGCAACACCATCATTGCAATGAGGAAGGAGCAAACAATGAAAACAAACCAACACAAAGATGCAGAGCAAAGCCCACCAGGGCCTCAGAAACAGGGCAGTGAGGACCCAGAGGAGGACATGGGGTGCTACTTCACCTCAATGTGCTGACAGTGGGTTCCTGATCCAAATGCTCACCTGAGACAAGTGCTGGCTTGTGTTGTTTCTTTTTTGAGTGAGATGAATGTTGAAATTGGAGGTCCATTTACTTCCCAGTAGGGTCCAAGGTTTCAACCAAAGCCTGAGATTGGCTAATAATGATGAATCAACCTCTATAGGAAGCTTTGAATTTTCCAGATCCATCTTAAATCTCTTCCCACTCAACAATAACCTTGTGAGGTAAGTTGGGCAGCCATTATCATCCCCATTTTCCAGATTCTAAAAACTGAGGCCCAGACTTGCCTCAGGTCACTATTGGCAAATCTAGAACTGGTGTCCCAACTCCCAGCCTTTGTTTCCAATTAGGCTATGTTGCCCTCTCCCCCTTCTCTCAGTCCTTTTCATTTGGACAAGACCATTGTGCTTAGTATGTCCCGGCAGGCAGAAAAATGGTGTCATGAGTTGGTATACTCATACTCACAGGGGATGGAAAAGAAATGCAGCTGGGAATAGATAGCAACATTTTGATGGCATATAAAGAAATCAAGGAACTTGTGAAGGCTTAGTATAGAAGAGATGAAAAAAGCACTTTCTGTCAGCAGCCATTCATTCAAAAGGGAAGCAAAGGTCTGAAGTGCATAGACTGGAGGGAGCCCAAATATACTTAGGGTATATTGGAGGAGGCGGGTGGCTCTTTTATCAAGTTGTCCCATAGTTGAAATAGTCAAAGGAAGGAGATGCCATGGCAAAGGGAAAGCCATGATCAAGGACCAAAGGGTTCCCATCAGTGGTTGAGAGTTGGACAGGAATCAATGAAGAACTCAGGACTGAGGGAGGAAGGGACTACAGTAATTCTGCTGAAGCTTGAGTATGTAAAAAAGTCACAAATTCAACTGAGTTTTTAGGGTAAGGTGATGCTAAGATAGCCTACAAATGTTGTAAACAGCATGAATGCTGGGTCTTGGGGATCATAGGAAATAAAACCCCAATATCCAGGAAATTCTCCACATGAATGGAAAGCAACTGGGATTTCCAGAGGGTCATCAGCACCCACTGTACCTGAGATGAGGAAGAGGTGGAGCAGGAGGGAGAGAATGAGCAGGAAGAAGAGGAGAAAGAGGACAAGGGTAGGGTGGCTGATGGCAAATGGAGGTGTTTTTTTTTTTAACAAATACTGTGGCTGATCTGATCATGCCCCTCGTGTTTCATAAACATTGGATTTGTTTAGCTCATTCACCAAGGACCTGCCTCTGGAAAGCCTGAGAGGAGAAGGATAAGATCTGACAGTGTGAAATGAAGGGCCACTCTTCAGAAACGCCTGGTCTGCCACACTCAGATATGTTAATCCTTCCTTGTAGTTGCAGGCTTTCATATTATCAAGATCTGAGAGAAAGAGAGAGAGAGAGAGAGAGAGAGAGAGAGAGAGAGAGAGAGAGAGAGAGAGAGAGAGAGAGAGAGAGAGAGAGATTTTGATTAGCAGAGCTTTAACTATGGCATGGTGACTAGGACTTTGTCCCAGGGTACTTATGGGGCACTTCATTAGGTAGAGACAAACTAAGCTTAGGGTCTGGCCTTTTTATTTTTTTTTTAACTCAACATGCAGTTTCATTGGCCCAGGGAGTTCACAGTGAGGAAATCCACTTTACCTATGATGTTCTGCACCTCCTCAGTAATTTGTAGTCTTCGGGAGTTGTCCAGGACACCAAGAAGTTAAACGACTAGTGTAGGATCACAAATGATCTCCATCTCTAAACATTTTCACTTGCTGCCCCCCCCCAATGTGGAGCTTTATCCCTGCTCATCCCTGCCTCTTGGCTTCCCTGACTTCCTTCAAGTCTCAGCTAAAGTCCTGCAAGAAGCTTTTCCAGCCCACCCCCCTCCCCGCCCCACTTTATTGCTAGAGTTCCACTGCTAGCAAGTATCTGAGGCCACATTAAACTCAGTTCTTCCTAACTCCAGGCCCAGATCGAACTCCGCTGCACTACCTAGCTGATGTGCAGGTAGTAGTATGCGTCATTGATAGAATTTGACTTCAGGGCCATATTGTTCTGTAAATGCTTGTTGAATCGAATTGCCCCAAAGAAAACTCATCCCAAAGTGGAATGCACTGCTCCAGGGGGTCCCCAAAACAGGGAACCTCAGAGTTGGAAGGACTTCATTTAGTCCTACCTATCACTGAGTGAACATCCTCATAACATCTAGGCTTGGCTTGAGGGTTTTCCACAGCCTCCTGAGGCAGTCCATGCCACTGTTGGACAGCTCCGACCACTAGCAAGTGTTTTCTCATGTTGCCTTGAAATTTCTCTCTGAAACTTTCATTACTGCTGCTTTGGTAGCCTTCTGGGGCAGAGTAATTTGATTCAATTCCCCCAATACTTATTAAATACCTCCTATGTGCCAGATGCCATGCTAGGCACTGAACTTTGTTTTATTGTTTTGGAAACTGGACTCCTTATTTCATTGGTATTTCCTCTAACAATGCAAATTAGCACCTAGAGTCTTAGGAAATTGCCTCAATTCATCTAACATCACACAGCACGTATGACCAGTGGACTCTGTGATTCTCTGAAGTGTAGCGAAGGGTGGGAGTGGGAGAAATCATCAAAGGTTTCCTGGAGGAGCAGGGCTCTGGACTGGACTTGGATGGGAAGAGATAGGAGATAGGATACATTCCAAAAGGAAATATCATAAGTATTTCATGGGACATATGTGATATAATAACAACAGCAGCTAACATTTATATAGCACTTTAATATTTGCAAACCACTTCACATTCTATATTGTTTGATCCTTGCAACCCTGGGAAGTAAATGTTATTACTATTCCCATTTTGCAGATGAAGAGACTGAGGCACAGAGGTTAAGTGACTGTCCAAAGGTTACACAGTTAGTAAGCATAGTATGTTACTTTGGAGTCCCCATTTCTGACACTTCCTAGCTGTGAGACCTTGGGTAAGTTACCTTACCTCTCCGGACCTCATTTTCCCCATCTATAAAGTGAGGGGATTGGAGTAGATGGCTTCTGCAGTTTCTTCTAGATCTAGGATCCCATGTGTGTATGGGGCAGGAATGGATCTAATACCTTCCCTGCTCTAGGTTCAGCACTATTTCTGTGCCCTTTCCTGTGCTAAGCCCCTCACCCTAGTTATAGCTGCTGCTGGATATTCCAGGATAAATACCCCTTCTTCCAGATTCCTGGCATGCTATTAGAGTTTATCAAGAGAAAAACACAGATTCCTCTCCCTCCATTCGTAAGCTTCCCAAATATTTTGGGTGGCACGGGTAGTTTTTTTAAAAATCAATTTTAATCAACTCCTTTGTTTTCCCATCACCTATCTTTCCCCATGTAGCCTTTCCTTAGTCCCTCCCAAAAAGTCATTCTTTAGAAACCAAGCTCTCAGTCGGCTGCCCCTTCCTGCCTTCCCAAGCTTCTGTTCTTTATTCCTTCTCCCACTGCAGCTGCTCCTCCATCCACCTCTTTGGATATTGTCCCCCCCAGGAGCTCTGTTCCCCTTCGTCCTTGCCTCTTGGCTTCCCTAACTTCCTTCACATCTCAGCTAAAATCCTGTCTTCTGGGAGATTTTCCAGACTCCCTCCACCATTTTACATTAGTATTTTCCTTCTGTTAGTCATTCCCGATTTGTCTTGTAGATAGCTTATTTGTACATAATTGTTTGTGTGTTCTGTCTTCTATTTAACTGTGAGTTCCTTGAGAACAGGGACCATCTTTTGCCTTTCTTTGTCTCCCCAGCACTTAATACAGGGCCTGACACATAGCAGACCCTTAATAAATGCTTGTTGACTGACTAACCAAGAAGAAAAAAAAGAAGAAAAAAGCAGTTTAGCAAGACTGACCAACACACTGGAAAAGTCTGAAATTCTATGGAGTGTTCTATACCCATAGACTTTCACCTCTTCCAAGAGAGAGGCACCTTTCATATCTCTGGGGGCCAGCCTTAGTCATTATAACTTCACAGGTACCATTCATTGAAAATTAAGATGAACTGAAGTCAATGTCATTCTGAGAGTTCATGGAATTTGCCCCTTAACATAACTGGAGACAATTAGGAGTGGGTAGAAGTTCAGGGGTTGAGGAGGTCAGAAAACCAGGACTCACCTAGCAAGACTTTTATTGGGACTGCTTCAAGAAAGACTTACATTCACATGGCACGATAGTTTGAGTGAGAAGGAATGGGGACCATTTTTCTGGATGGGGATCAAGGCCAGTGATTGAAAATCATTGGCCCAGTTTGGCTAAAGCATGTGAACCAATAATAAATGGTGAATCAATGAGATCATATGTGCAGAACCGGTGTCTAAGCATTTGACTTGACTGCCATCACACATGTAAAACATTTTGCCACTGTTATGACACTATATAACAGTCAATTATTGGTAGAGAGGCAGAGTAAGGGGTGATAGAGGGATGGGCAGAAAGCTTTAATGGTATTCTCATGCTATCAGGAGACCCTCTGTGGTGAACTTTTGGGAGGGCTTGGATGGCCAGGATAAATAGGCATGGATGGATTGCAACCTGCCTTTTTGGAGGGTACTCTTGAATTGAGATCAGATTTATTGGAGCATTTGAGTATTTGAGACAATTACTGAATGTATGTATGTGTGTATATATGTATGTATGTATGTATGTATAGATGGATGAGTGGATGGATGATCTCACTTTCAGGCTTCTTCACAACACGTTATCTCCTATCTCTGTACCTTTGCATGAACTGTCTCCCATTTTTGGACTGTTCTGCCTCCTCTCTTCTACCTCCTAGAATGCCTCACTTCCTTCTAAACTCAGATAAGCACCACCTCCTACAAGAGGTCTTTCCTGATCTCCCAGCTGCCAGGGACAGAGCCTGAAATGGTCTTGTAATAATAACAGTCAGCATTTATATAGCACTTATTACATCTTAGGCACTGTGCTAAATGCTTTTTACAAGTATAATCTCATTTGATCCTTACAACAGCCTTGGGAAGTGGGTGCTATTATGATCCTCAGTTTATATTGAGGAAACTGAGGCACACAGCAGTGAAGTGATTTGCCCAGGGTCACATAGCTAATAAGTATCTGAGGCTGGATTTGAACTGAGGCCTCCCTGACTCTTGGCCTTGGCACTCTACCTACCATGCCAGCTAGCTGCTTAGGTGCCTTGTATTTCTTTATATACAAAATATACACATGCTCATATATACACATTGTCTCCTCCAAAATCACGTAAGCTCTCTGAGGGCAGGGACTATTTCCATTTTGTCTTAGTATCTTCAGTGCTTAGCACAGTGGCTGCATAGTAGGCAGTTAATAATTGCCTATGGGTTGATTTAGCCTCAGGGTTTTCTAGTCCTTTGGATGGAACTCAGCTTGTTACAAAATAACCTCCTCATGGGTCCAGCTCTTGGCCAGTAACTTTGCCCTTGGCACTCAGGGAACCCTAACAGAGTGACCATGATGTCCTGCTGATGTAAATGAAAGCTGACCACTTCTGCAGCAGCAGTGCTCCACTCCTGCTTCCTTTCCTTTTAGATCCGGCTCCTACCTCCCATTCCAACTCCCTCCCCCTTTCCCCCAGCTCAGCTGGAGGGGCTTTGTGGGCACACCCTGCCCCCATTGGTCTGTGTGGCTTCCCTCATCTGTTTTCAGAGCAGCCCTTAGCTCCTCCACTTTCCCATTCACATCGTCCTGTAGCCCTGCACTTTTAGATAATGTCTTCAAACAGAACCAAGAAACTACAAGACGAGGGGATGTTTCAGGGCTTAGTGGAAATACGGGATTGATGTCATCCTCTCAAGCTCCACCCCCCTCCGCCTTGCTGCCTTCCCTGCCTGCCCCACCCCCTCTACCTCACCTCTCTAGACTTTACAGTCAGAAGACTCGCACAAGAGCTCAAATAAAGAGACTTGTTTCTTTAATTCGGGCAAAGTTGCCGAAAGCACCACGGAGAAGTGTAGGGATCCTTGGGTGAGGAAAGAATCATAGAGCCAGACCTCAAAGAGACCTTTATCTTCCAGATGAGAAAAGGGAATCCTGGAAAAGTGAAGGGATTTGCCCAAGGTCATTCAGGTGGGAAGGTGCTCAGGGGTGGAATGTGAGCACAGACAGGTCGTCTGTTTGCAGGGCCAATGTATTATTCTTCACTCTTCAGTGGAAGATTGCTTCTCCAGCCATAGCTCCTCAAAACCAAGGACTGGTTTGTCTTGGGCTGTGTGTAGCCAGCCCCTAGTACAGTGCCCGGCACATAGTAGGTGCTTCACAAATGCCTATTGAACTGCTATCTGTGGAACCACAGAGGAGGCAGCTTATCTCTCTGGGCTTCACTTTCCTGAGTTACTGTTGTTGTTTGTCTTTCATTCTCAAAGAGGACCGTGACATCGGGGTGGGGA